CAAGTCAGTCCCCAGATTTAAACCTGATTGAGAATCTGTGGCATTATTTGAAAATTCAAATCCAATCGAGAGTTCCAACAAACATCCCGGATCTGAAGACCATATGTGAAGAAGAATGGAACAAAATATCAACTAAAATTTGCAAATCATTGAGAATTACAAGAAGAGGTTGGTTGCTGTACAAGTGAATAATGGCTATTCTACAAAGTAAATGAAGATTATGTATTCATTTTTGTATTGTACAAATACTTTTTTTCACCCATTAAAATGGATAAATGGGATTTATTTCTATAAAATCAAAAATTTTTTTTTTTTCTGTTTTCAATGCATATTTAGTTGAAAAGTATGTTTATCATTGTGTACAATTAATTATATGAAAAGTATTTTTATTCATTATATTATAAATATAATATATATATAAATATTTATATATATATATATATATTTGTTTTCCACAGATTATGGTATAAAAGGTTTTATATATATATATATATATATTTATATATATATATATATATCAACACAAATGTGTGTGTGTGTGTGTGTGTGTGTGATCAAAAATTAGGGATATAAATGCCATTAAAAGAGAATAAGAAAACCTTTTAAAATGCATTGGAATATAAAAAGGTTTTCTTATTCTCTTTTATTTATTTATATATATATATATATATATATATATATAAAATGAATAAAATCATGAAAACTTTGTTTTGTCAGCTTTTATAAGTCTGTAGCAAATATAGAAATGGATTCTGACTCACTTTTGCCTTAGGTATAAAAAAAGATTTTTTATATATATATATAAATATATATATATATATATATATATATAAATGTCAAAAAATCTCTCTAAGTTATTTACTAATCAAGAGCAAAAAGACTTCTTCAGGAACCACTTAATCCACATTGTAGACCCATTATGTAAATGAGGGTTTATGAATATTCATAAGATTAGGAAGGGTAAAAGGTTGCATAATGAAGAGGTCATCTGAACAGATGACATCTGTGACTTGATGGACAGAAAGTAGGGATAGAAACAGAGACATTTGTTATGACCGATTCATTGTGAGATAATCCCACCATACAATGAAACTAGCAACAAACATGTTCAACATTGTAAGAGAGTCAGCAAGTATGCTAACAGTTCAAAGATAAACAATAGCATTCACAATGGAGCCAATCTAAGCAATTTAAGCCACTTAGGATGGCTTTGTTTAATGTGAGAGAGAGGGGAAAATAGTCTTGAGAGAGAAAGGGGGAAAATAGTCATGAGAGAGAAAGGGGGAAAATAGTCATGAGAGAGAGAAGCCTTGCTAGAGAGAGAAAAACATTTGCAAGCTCTGATTCTTCTTGAACCAGGAATCTTCAAGTTACGAGTTGTTGGTTGTATCCTTTCATCAGAACTAATTCTTTAACTCAAACGAATGTGCTCACTTCAGCATCCACAGCTCATATGACTAAAATGGACCTTAATTTCATCCAGTTTCATGCACCCAATATTGTTCAAAATATCGTGGACATAAAACATTTTTTCCAACCAATCAGAAAGGCCCACATAGTTTTCACAGTAGCCGTTTCTAAGCAACTAATTCACTATAAACCAACACTGATCTTCCCCACAAAATCAGATCCGACCGGATATTTGAGATGGACTATATGACTGCCCAGGCCATCAGCAATGAGGCAAAGTCACTTACATCAACAGCAATGACATCAGCAGCAGCAACAACAGAGACTAACCCTCATACTACAATATGATAATTTGTGGAATATTTCTTCCAAGATTCTATTTCACTTGGCTATATATATGTGTTGATTTTTCTCCACATACCATCTTGACTACTACCTTGTGTTATACCCCAACCAAGCTCTCAGTCTCCCATGACTGATATATGATAACCCGGAACTAGCAAACAAACAAAACTCATAAATCACAAGAAATAAAAACTCTTCCACTTATCTCAATTTGTTATTTTGTCACTTCCACTACTTTTTTTCTTGTTAATGTTAAGGCTGCCAATACACACTAAACACTGGAAAAGTCATTTATACACAACTCTTGTTAAAACTACTTCAGATACAAGGAAGGAAAATTTACAAGACTCAGCAATAATTATTGTGTGTGTGTGTGTGTGTGTGTGCATTAAAGGTGGTAGGTTAATGATGAAAGAAGGATATTTTATTTTTGATATTTTCTCTCTTATCAATGCAGTGAGCAATTCTCTATTAACTACTCATATTGGATATTATAGAGAGAATATTTCAGATCAAAGTGCAAGTAATAACTAAATGCCAAGGTATGGACTTAATGATCCACTTATGCGTGTGAGAAAAATACTTTCAGATTGTAAGAATTTTTTTTTTAAATGGTTTCATGATACAAGTCTTACTAATTAACCCATAGCTAGAGGGAGAAGAGGTGGATATCATTTTTTTTTTTCAAAGGGTAGTTACACATAAGTAAATATAACAAAGCCAACAGGAGTTGGAACTCAGCTCTCCGATTAACAATTTCAAGCCATTATCCATTACACCATCCACATATCCAAGTTTACAGTACCTGGTATTCACAAGCGGTCACCCATCTAAGTACTGACCAAACTTAACATTGCTTAACTTTAGTGATTGTACGGAAACCATGTTTCAATGTGATGTGACCATAAACCAAAAAATGATGACATTGGGAATGTCGTCGATGAAAATTAGAAACGATATAGATCCAAGGACAGAGCCCTGGGGAGCACTCACATTAAAGCCCTGAAAGACACCCACAAATCTTCTCTACAGGCTGTCTTTAAAGTCTGGACACATAGGCAAAAATGCATATTCTCAAGATGTGAAAATGTCAACAAAATATTACAGAATAGGAATATTAAGAAATAACATCTTCAATATGACTTCCATCATTTGTGATGCAAAGTTTGATGTGCTTTGCAGGAACTCGATGCAATAATTCCACATTGCCATCAATTTTAGCACATTAACTCTTTATGCATTCAATCAAGTGTGTTGCATCTGTGATTTTCATTGAGTACACCTTCTCCTTTAGCAGACCCCAGAAAAAGAAGTCAATTCTTTCTTCTTTCGACAAAATCATGTTTAATTTGTGAAGGCGAAAGAAAAGATAAATAAAAATAAATAGTTAATGAGATTTCGTATGTGTCCAGACTTTAAGAATACCCTGTAGATTATTTAAGAGACAAATGCCTTGCTTATTTTTAAGCATCTTCAAGTTGTTCCACATGAACAGATTGGGTGTTCATTGCTTTAAAGAGAAATGCAACAAATCTTGTATCTCTGTAACAAGATAGTTTTTTTTCAGTTTAGAATAAATGAATGTGTATGAGGAGAAATTGCATTCAATGTCAGAAGACAAGGCCGCCATTGCTGAAAGAAACTGTTTTATGGCAGAAAATCTATCATTGTTCAACACATTTGCATGTGAATTCCACTGTCCAATACCTGAAAAAGTTATTGCTTATGGTGTCTGCAAATCTCAATGTCTGGAGAGGAGGAGAGTTTACTTGCTACTTGAGAGTAATGGAAACAAGTTGAGGGATATTTCTCATTGATATATATCACAATATTTACTTCCTTGTTTAATGCTTTCCCATGGAGATAAGGATGATTTGTGTTAGCAATAAACAAACTTTGCTGATTATGTTCCCACCATTTGTTGTTTTTATCAAAATTGTCAATGCTTCCCAAATATCAACTTCTTCAATGAATGCTGCTTGTTAAGGCATGTCAATTTTGGAACTGTGGTATTACAATCGATTTGAAAGTTGGATTTTCATATCATAAATAATGACACAAAGTATTTTTTCCAAATCTTTACTGTTTTTTGAGGAAATGAGTTTAGATCAAGTTTGGGTCCAAAATGAGTTTAGATCAAGTTTGGGTCCAAAATGAGTTTAGATCAAGTTTGGGTCCAAAATGAGTTTAGATCAAGTTTGGGTCCAAAATGAGTTTAGATCAAGTTTGGGTCCAAAATGAGTTTAGATCAAGTTTGGGTCCAAAATGAGTTTAGATCAAGTTTGGGTCCAAAATGAGTTTAAAAGTTTGGCTCAAAATGAGTTTAGATCAAGTTTGGGTCCAAAATGAGTTTAGATCAAGTTTGGGTCCAAAATGAGTTTAGATCAAGTTTGGGTCCAAAAAAGTTTGATCAAGTTTTTGAGTTTAGATCAAGTTTGGGTCCAAAATGAGTTTAGATCAAGTTTGGGTCCAAAATGAGTTTAGATCAAGTTTGGGTCCAAAATGAGTTTAGATCAAGTTTGGGTCCAAAATGAGTTTAGATCAAGTTTGGGTCCAAAATGAGTTTAGATCAAGTTTGGGTCCAAAATAGTAGATTTGGAATTTCATTTCAGTGATCAGTGAAAGCTTTATAACATTTATAATTTGCTGAACCTTTACAAATTGTATATCAACAAAATGCATAACACAAGTATTACTATTACTAAATCATTGTGCCATCAAATAAGACCTTCATTTACTTCAAAGAGAAATTATACTGAACAATTTAGTTATATTATGATGTGTTATACAGTGTAGCATTTTTAGTGCAATTTTCAATAAACAATGCAAATTTAAAACATTTTGTCTTATAATTTGTAACCAGTAGTATTATCATGTTGCATACATTTTTATCTACTTTTTGTTTTTATTAATTATGATCTAACAATCTTTATTCATTGAGTAGCCTTCTCGGTAATCTTTTATAATTTTTTTTTTTTTACAGTTTTTACTTGTTTAATACAGTGAAAAAAAAAAATTGTATATTTTGCTCGTGATGATTAATAATGAGAATTCTGGTCTGAATATATTTTCCATTTAGTGTATCTAGAAGATATTAACTTTATTTGGATTTATTCTTGAAAAAGTAAAATTTGATGTTAGTTTGTAAGCAAAAGCCTATGGAAATTAAGTATTTCTGTACATTTTTTTTTGGAAGGTCTTTAAAACTAAATGCTCCAAAATTGATGAAAAATCAACCTGCCTACTGCTTGTGTCCCCTCTAGTTTATCCAGGGGTTCGGCTGTTGGCTGTAGTTGAGGAAGTAGTTCCTCCACCGGGCCCTCGAGGCGATAATTCCTCCACCGGGCCCTCGAGGCGATAGTTCCTCCACCGGGCCCTCGAGGCGATAGTTCCTCCACCGGGCGCTTGAACATGAGATTTGGTCCTTTATTTCTTCCTTCAAGAAATATTTGCTCCCTGTTTATATCACAAATTTGAAGAATGATCAAGTTTTTAATATAGATCAGACAGTCTGACATTGTTTTCTATTAAGCATCTTGGGGCATCACAAGACATTGACAACCCTTTTAATGTTATCTAGCTGAGGTACAACAAATGTTTCCAAAGTACTTGGCCAAGTGTACAACCACATGTTCTTTTATATTAGAAACTTCTAAATCATAAGTCAACATTTGCAATTCACTTTCTTTTAATGATTTTTTTCATCCTGCTGATATTGGATACATTATATGTCACCAGACTATTGATGTGACATCCAAAATTTTCCTCTTATTTCATTATTGACAATATTGCAATTTCCTGACAGTAAACGGCAGTGTGAGGTCAGCCTGATATGTGTATTGCCTTAACTCAATAGATATAAGCAATTGATATTGCCAGAGTGACACATAATACGGTTATTATGAATGTTGGACCACCTATTCTAATCAAAGACAAACATCTCGATTTTTGACATCTTCTGAACGATTTTTATATTCCCTTTCCATATCTAACTATATTAGCCACTCGACTACCTATTTTCACTATCTTGTATCTATAAACACACACATATTTATTTATTTATATATATATATATATATATATATATATATATATATTCAAAATTATAATATATGCATGTTATAACATCACTACAAAATAGCCATTTTGTTTCAACACTCCTGGTGTCTTATGAAGTGATGGTGTTCCAGAAGTGTTGAAACAAAATGGCTATGTTCCTAGTGATGTTATAACTGTTATAACATGCATATATTATAATTTTGAATAAATATTACTTGCTCTACTCTGTATTGAGCACTCTTAAGAATAGAGTTTTTGGTTATCAGAATTTTATTCCATCTGTACCAACCCTGTACTGTGTGTGTGTGTATATATATATATATATATATATATATATATATATATTAATGGATTTCACCCTAAGCAAGACAATAAAACCAGGAAGACACAGGGGATTACTGTGGAAGAATTAGAAACAGAAACATTACTAATGAGTGAGAAGAATAAAAGAGTAACCAGGAGAACAGTAGATTGCAATTATTATTATTATTTTGAATTCTTAAAAGGAAATGAAACACTAAATGCACATTTATATGCCCACCGGCTGCAACCTGTCCATAAAGTATTGGATGAAAAGCACCCTGAGAAAAAAACAAGAAACATTGTTCTCTTCAATGACAACACATGGCCACATACAGAATGAATAATAAATTTGGAACTGTTGATCTGTTCTAACCACCATTTTCATTAAGCTTTGCACCAACTGATTACTGAATTATTGAAATTACTGATTAATGAAAACCAGATTCAAAAGTCCAACAAAAAATTTTTGTAAAAAAACCTGCAGAATTTTACTTGAAACGTATTGAAGAGCTGCCTGATAAGTTGCAACAAGTCATTGCAAATAATGGTAAATATATCATTCAAGCATAATTAGTATGCCTATTCCTTCAACAAGAGTAAGAGAAGATCCTGGAAATGCATCTGGCACTCTTTTATTGGTCCTAGAAAGTATGTCATTAAATCAAATAAATTGTAGTTTATTTTTTCAAGAACAGAACTTAAACTAAAATAAATTTCTTACAACTCAACCTAATATATATGTATGCACACATACATAAACATAGATAACACATAAGAATGTGCTGAAAAGTTCTCAGCCCAAATAAAAAAATCCTTCAAAAGATAACATATCTATCATTTAGTCAGGTCTGGGGGAAGGGGGTCACTTTTCAGCACCCCCATCCCAGAACATACACATGGTAATACAAAGTTATAAAAATGATTTTAAGCTATTAAACGTTTGCTAATTTTTCCCCACACTCATTATAATTGCCGAAACAGAAAAATTTTAATTATTAAAAGCGGATTCTGTTTACGAAAAAGAATAAAAATAAAAAAGCAGCATATTTTCATTTTTAAAAAAATGATTCCTGGGCTTTTGGGAAAACTGAAATAGAATGCATCTTTAAAATAGACAAATTGTGTGTAATTATGAAAACTCTAGTGAATCTACTCCTACCGAAACCCAGAATCAAACTTGTCAGACTGGCTCTTGGGGAGTTGGCAGCTTCCATCTACGTAAATATAAATTTATCGCTTCTTAACCTAAAAATACATCCTGGTAAATGGAATAAGTGTGATTGCATCTCTTCTTCTCTCAAGCTATGAGTAAGATAGCTGGAGTGACTGGGTTCTCTAACCTTGATTGGCAACCACTCTTGGAGAAGGATGATTAGGAATTCAAAATGAAATCCAAATGCACATTGTACTAGCAAAAAAGGCATTCCAAAAAGCTAAGCAAAGTGTTAAAAAACAGAAAGATTTCATTAGAAACAAAGAAAAACATGCCGGATTGCTGTATGATATCCATCCACATATATGGCAGTGAATGCTGGACAATCTCCCTATGGATGGGAAAACTGGAGACAACAGAAATGTGCTTCTCCAGAAGGATACTGAAAATTCCATGGATGAAGTGAGTAAGCAACAAGAAAGTCTTAAAGAAAATGGCAACAGGATCAGGAAAAGAGAGCTGAAATTTCTTGGACACATTATAATGAAGCAGGGCTTGAAAAACTTTACCCTCAGAGAGTATATTGAAAGAGACAGGAGAAAAGCAGAGGGACACTTAGCTGACAAGCTTGTGTAAATGGATGGTGGAATGGGAAGCAGGAAGCTTAACAAAGTGAGAAAAACTTAAGGGCCACAAGGGATAGGAAGTTGTGGAGGACCATAATCCCCTATGTCTTGGAAGAGATGTGGCACATAGAAAAAAAGAGAGAAGGCAACAAGAAATCACTCCACTTTCCCCTCAGAATAATTATAGCAAATCATTTCCCAGAAAAAGGAAGATGAGAAGAGTCATAATCATGTTCAATCTGAAGAAACATGGTATTTAACCTATATATTGTTTTTTTTTTTTTTGTTGTTTTTTTATTTTTTTACCTTCCCTTTGCTTGTCCATTTTGACCTTATTTTTGCTGGTTTAATAATAATAATAATGAATTATCCTACTGACCTTAGTTTAAACTGATGCTGTCTTAAACCCTCCCCACTCACTACCATGTTCTATGTTTATTTTGCTTCAATTTGGTCTTTTCTTGATTTCGTATTAACCTTTATCACTCCTTATATGACTTCATTTACTGTACAAAAAGTTTATCCTGCCACTGAAGGTGACTGATCCCTGAATAATAGTGTGTTTAAATTTCATAGTTGTGTTGTCATATCCTGCTATGGCAATAGAAAACAACTTTGAATGAAATTAACAATACTGCAATTGAGAGGCTTTGAAAAAGAATGCAGTGGAAAGAAAAGTAATATTAATAATGCAGTGTGCTAAAACTTGCAAATTTCCATTTTCCAGAAATACAGTTTTTAATTAGATAAGTGGAAATAAAGGTGTCAGTATAAACTAACATTGGGAGGGTGCAGGCTTAAGAAAATGAAGCTGGAGAGATATACCCACCTACATCCTGAAAGAACACTATTAAAAAAAAAACAATGTGGGGCGTGATAGTTCCGAGGTGAAGAATTTTCATCATTTCATACATTATTCATAACTTCAGCTTTATTCTTGATATTTGGTCGAAATGTTCAACCTTTGTTAGGGGTATATTGCATCTGGTGGTCTTTAGATGCTTGTCTTATCTTTCATTTCTTTATTCATATCACAATGGCAGAATATTATTTAGACTAGTAAGTTCCATTTTATTCTTGATATTTGGTTGAAATGTTCTTCAGCTTTTGTTAGGGGTATATTGCATCTGGTGGTCTTCAGATGATACCTAAGACTTTTTTCCTCTCTTACACTTCTTCACACAGAACATAATGTCTAAGCAAAACCACATGTTGAGAAATTTCTCTAAATCAAAAAGAGATAAAATTTCTTTGATATTGACAGATTGGACTTTAACATAATATTTTTTTCTTTTTCATTATAATTAACCAAAAAAAGCTTAAGAAAAAAAAAAAAAAGAAAAAGAAGGATTTTATATATATTTTCTGTTTATATGTTATTTTTATAGATACAATTATTTTAAGTAAATGCCCTGTTTATAATAAATAGTATTAATTACATTTACCGACCTGAATGGTCCAAGAACTTTCATAGAAAATGTGCATTTACATAAAATAATCGTAAACAAAAAATATATGAAAATAATTGTTAGTCCATTTCATTATATATATATATATATATATATATATATATATATATATATAATAGGTTTATTAGAGATATATACAGAGTGTGGTGGATAAATTGTCATCTAAATTACACAAAAATGAAAGTAACACTAACATCTCATTTTAACAGATATCTTTCGTATAATTTTGATAAATATATCTTGAAATACGAAAACGAAAATTTATTCAATAAAATCACCATTGGCTTCAGACATGGCCTCCAGATGACTTTGGAGTCTCCTACAATTCTTCTGGATGGTCTACTTGTTTAAGTTGGTGAACACTGCCATAATCATTGCCTTCAGTTCATCTTTGGTGTTACAAAGAATTTTGTTGGTTTTTCACATTCAACTGCACCCCATACATAATAATCAAGGGGGGTGCATTCTTGGGAGTTAGGTGGCAAGATGTAAGGGGTGATGTGGTTGCAGAAATAGTCTGACAACCATGATTGGGTTCTCCTGCTTTTGTGGCATGGTGCAAAGTCCTGTTGCCAGATATCGGGCATTCCAGCAGCCACTCAGCGCAGCACTACCTCCTTAAGGCACTTGATGTAGGCCTCCATGTTGATTCTGAGGCCCTGTGGGAAGATGAATGAAGGTATAACATTGCCATCATTGAATGATCAGAGTGAATTTTGTACCTTCTTAATCATCATTAGACTCAGCCAACTCTTTCCAAATCCTCTGCACTACCCTAAGATTGACACCCAAACACATTGAAA